TGATGTAGACTTCAGATGCTAGAATCACAAGACACAGAATATAAAAAAACGATGCCTTCTAATTTTCACAAAACAAAAGAGAGTCTTTAACATTCAGGAAAAAAACCTACAACAAATGACATAGTAAATTTAAAAAAGAAACAAACTTCTAGAAATAAAAATTATAACAATTGAAATAAAAATAATGTTTATCACAAAGGGAGACTGAGTTAAATTAGAAGATAAATCAAGATAAGTTATTTGGAATGCAGTTCAGAAAGACAGAAAGAAAGAAGAATATAAAACATGTGGAGGATAGAGTGAGAAAATTTAACATAGGTTTAACTAGGGGCTTAGAAGAAAATAAGAGAGAAAATGTAAAAGAAGCTACATTTGAGAAGATAATAGCTTGGAAATTTGTAAAATACATTAATGACAGTTATAATCAATTTCAAGAGGCCCAACAATCCAGGCAGGGAAAATAAAAAGATATTGACACCTGGATGCATCACAGTGAAACAGTGGAAACACAAAGGTAATGAGAAAATATTATGAGGGACCAAAGAACAGTGGTTAGATTAACAGGTAACTTCTTGATAACAATAATGGATGACAGAAAACAGTGGAATGATATATTTGATGTGCCAAAAGAGTATTACTGCCAACTCAAAATTCTATATCCAGAGAGAATATATATTTCCAAAATGATGGAGAAATAGAGACATTTGAAACAAGCAGATGCTGAGACAGACTGTCACGACAAGACCCTTACTACAGGAATTTCTCAGAATGTACTTCAAATAGAAGAAAAAATAATCCTAGAGGGAAGGTCTAAGATACAGGAATATATAAATAACAAGGAACATGGCAAATATTGGGCAAATAAAAATCAATATTGATTCTATAAAAGGGAATAAATAATGTCTAGTGGTGTTAAAAAAGAATTAAAATACAGACAGAAATAGCATATACATTGGGAAGGTGATAAGTGAATTAAAACTATTCTAAAGTAATATCTGAATAGCTTTAGTCTTCAATAAGTTATAATTCTAGGCAAGTCACTAACAGAACACCAAGTGTATCACTCCTAAAACAGTGAAGAAAAATATGAAATGATTAAAACAAAATGAAAGGAAGGAAAAAGCAGGACATATTGATATTTAGAGAAAGAAGCAAGAAACAAAAGAAACACATGCTGTGATTCCATTTTATAAGTTCAAAAGCAGACAAAGTATACTATATTTTTAAGGTCTACAGATATAGGTGGGAAAATAATAAAGGGTGATAAAATAATGACTAAAATGCCATTTAAGTCTGTGGCAAGGGAAGAGGCTGTGATGACATACAGACAATAGGCAGGGGTGGGGCTTCTGGAGGGCTGGCAGGGTGTGCATCTTGCCCTGGGCGGTGGTTATGTAGAAGTTTGATTATAACTGTTAAAATATACATACATGTTTTATACATTTTACTAAAAATGGTTTCTGCGTTATTTTCCAGTGACAATATTTCAAGATTTTAAAGTGAGTTACAAATCAGAATACAGAATAAGAACACTGTCCTTTCCTTTATAATCCAGAAAATCCGGAACTAAGGACACCAGTGGTTTTCCAATGCTCCTTTTCACAGGAGGGCCAGCCAGTCTGGACCAAACTTTCTCTGGTCTGAGGTGAAGTGAACAAAACAGAGACAATGTATGTAGATGTAGGAGGGAGATGGTTTCCTCTCTTGGTAAAGACTGTCTTTAATTTTGAGGTTTTATCCCACCTAGATTTAGGACTGGGGTATTATACAATGTCCTTTCTGTTAGAAAGTGACAGTAGTAGTAGGCAGTACTTTACTCTTTAATGTCATTAAAAAAGAAAAACAGAATAGGTCAGTCCTCCTTTTCCTTGAATAGGTCACTGAGGACCCAGAGCCTATGAATCTCTGATTTACACACACCAGCAAAGTGACTGTGTTTCTTTTCAGGGGGAGGCTGCTTTTGATAAAAATGTGACTTGGTTATGAACTGAAAGAATTTCAGTGAGAAAGAAATATAGCCAAACATGGAATGTGGGATCAGGCATAACACTGTGTGACATTCTGTATTAAATGTGAAAGCAGTAAGGTTAAGAGACAATGGAGGAAGGTGAGGGCCCCAGGAAAATATATATGGATAAGCAGGATATTACATCTAGAACCCCAAATGGAGAAATGGCTTCATTTTCAGAATTATTCAGTGCTCAGACACAATATTTTATGCTGCCTATGGATACATATTTCTTTTTTTGGAGACAGTACACACTGGTATTCCTTGAATTAATATACCTTTTCTTCTACACACGTGTGAATCAATTCAAGTGCAAAACTAAGATAGTATAATGATAAGTTATAATTATATTATACCCTATATTATGTACTATAGAATACAGTATATTTATATTTTAATGGAGTATATTAGAATATAATAATTATTTTATGGCTACTATGCATATTTTTATTTTATTAACTAATTTTATTCCTTACTAATTCTCTTGGTAAATATTACTATCTCCACTTTACAGGTGAGGATTCTGAAGCTCAAAGGAGTTGAATAAGTTTGTCAGCTCCTAAGTGGCAAAACTAGAATAAAGCTCCCTATGGTTGAACTTCAAAGCCCTTCTCCTAGCTACTCTGCTGCTTTGTCTCACCACTGCATTAACATTCAAAGATCATTCCTGTACAGATTAAAATGCCATTTACTCTTTTAAGCCACATTTTGCACTCACTTAGGCAGCTTCTACAGACCCCCTTGGAGAAAAGGACAGACTTTCCCAAAAGTACAATGAACAGTAATACCAGGACATGTGTAAGGGGGCACAAGAGAAATTCAGAAACTTGAGCATAAATCTCTTTCAAAATAAAACCACAGTATCTTTCATCAAGGCCTGGTAATCATCATATCATTTCTCTGAGACTGGAATTGGTAAATGTGGGCTATCCCACCAGGCCTTTAATATTTGGTTAGAAATGTATCCAAGAACTTGACTAGCAAGATAAGTCATGCAGTACAAACAGGAATCTGCAAATCTTTCCCCTATTACCACAAAACACAGTTAGTTCCTGCCCAGAATTTGCTTTGAAGACAATGAGTGTCTGGGAGAAACCATAAGAGCACTGAAAATGGGACTAGAAGTAATAAATAGGGACTGCCAAAAAAAAAAAAAAAAAAAAAAGGGGGTTAACAAATTTCCTCTAAAAGTAAAATCTATTGTCAATTTACAACAGTTCTGAAGCTTGAACTAGAGGCATGCAATTAGTGAGCTGACTTGCAAAGTTTGCCTACAGTAAGGGGGAGTTTTCTTCCACCTGTACAAAATTAAGCATCTGATAACTATCTCTTGGTATGAGGAGACTAAAATAATAAAATAAAAATAAACCAAATGCTTTAACTTGGAATCTAATCTCTCCCATTATCCCAGCACATTCACATAAACTCTGCTCCAATGGAATTCTTCTCACCCAGCAGGATGAAGATCATCTTCTCAGCAGCCAAATTCAGCAAGGCAAGTGACTTTCCTCCCTTCCTGATTTCCCCTTTAGAACTCATTCAAAGGGAAGACAAAGGACCCGTGGGTGGATGGGAGTTGTTTTGTACCTAGCCTTTAGGGGTACCTTATTTTTCTTAAAAAGGTTATCTCAACATTACTGTAGCCAAAAAATAAAAACAAAACAAAACCCTAAAAGAAATTTCTGAGGCAGTTTAAATTAAAAATACAAAGGACTGAGATATATTTTTAATTTATTCATAATTAGTTTACAGATTGGACTGCACCGAGACTCCAAAATCAGCAAGCTACTTGGGGATAAAGGCTATTGCAATTATCAGGAGCAAGCCAAATGCTACCTTTTGTTCTTACTAAAATCTTCTCCTTTAAAAAAAAAAAAATCTCCTAGCAAATGATTTTCTATTTCCTATTTAAAGAGGATTACATAGCAAACACGACTAGTGGCTGGAAAGCAAAAAACCTTCCATCGTTTTATTACCTGCCAAATACAAATTAGTTCATTGTGGTTAATTCCTGCCAGGAGACCCCTTTTCCCTGCTGCCTATCAGGCCGTTGGGGTATGGCAGGTTGGTTCCTGCCCAGAGTCCTTCCTACTCAGGAGGCTGTCAGATATGCTGCTTGCCCACTGTCTCCAACATCGTGTGACAGCTCTGGTGTTCGGGCAGCAAGGTTTTGAGCTTGAATTGCCCCAGTAACTAGCTCAGAATTGCTCCTACTATCACTGTCAAATCTCTGTGGGCATATATGAGGCCCTCCTCCAGGTACAAATCAAGAAGCCCTACAAATTTCACTTTGTAATAACTATTGGATACAGAAATTGTATTAGTTCCATTAGATGGAGTCATAGAACTGTTCAGAAAGGTTAGCTGGATGTAGTGAATGTCACAGTTAGACTAAGATAAAAAAATCACTGTTAACTTAGAGTGTTTCCTCATTGGTAACACCCTATATTAAGATGCCATTTATAAACAGTTTATTATTATTTATTAATGTGTGAAGCACTTTATAGCATGCTAGATAACAACTTAAATTCATGTATTAAAGATGCACATACATGGTTTAATACGATTTACGCCTTATGATATTCTTTAAAACAGCTTTCCATAGTCTCATCCGTTAAGTATTTATTACTAATGCATTTTATAACATACTTTATACTACATTATTTGAGCAAGTAGCTGCATTTAGTGATCGTTTCATAAATAAGAATAAAGCATTTATAAATGGCACCTTAAAGTGTTACCTTCCCATTACTAGAGAGCTGCTTGCCATTCATCTCATTTTGTGATTATTCTCCAAATGCACCACTTAATAAAACAAACACTAAGTTCTATTTTCCCTTCCTCTGATTAAAAGTTTATTGAGTCATTTTCCTCCATCTGCTTTCAGATGTTGATAGCTTGGAGGCTTTAGTGTGATTTCTGTTGAAACCAAACTTTTAATTCAACAATATTTCTGTAAACATGATAATAGTAGAAACAGAGAACTACCCACCATATTAGACAGAGCCTGCTGCTTGGATTCTTTGTAAAATTCAATTTTTCGACTAGAAAGAACAATCCAGGAAGTAGACCAGTTTTTCCTTAGGAGAGAAAAAAGCAAAAAAGCACTATCACTTGAAGAAATCATTCACAGGTATTGTATGAGCAACATTTGGAATAAGTAGAGACTATATTTTTAACCAGAATTCCTAAAAATCTTTTCTTTACTAAAATCTACAGGTGGCATGGAATTTAGATTAAAAAAATAATAAAAATATTCTGTAATTTTTATATATCATGGCATTTATAGTAAAAGTTTCATCATTTGTAGATCTTCCCCAAATCTTTTTCAGCTATCAAAAATCCAACCTCGTGTATCCATGTCTTCCACTCCATAAAAAGTCTATGCTTCTGCAGCAAACCAAAAACAGCAAAGTAAAAATAGAAATCAGAACCTTGTCCTTCATTGTTATATCTCTTCATTGGTTTAGTATACATCAGAGTCTGCAAAACTAATCAGCTAATTTGCCTGCCTAGTTCACAATATTTTTCAATGTTGAAACTCAATGCAAATAAAGGGAGTCAAATGCTTTTTACTTTTTTGCCAATCAAATTGGCAAGAATTAGAAGGAATAATACCGAGGTTTACTGAGAGTATGGAGAAATGGATTCTCCCATACAGTTTTGGTGGGAGTGGAAACAACTTTTCAGGAGTGAATTTGGCAATATGTTTTTAAAAAATATTTTAAAATGTGTATATCTTTTGATTGAACAAGCCCATTACTATGAAGTTAAATTTATCCTAAAGAAATCATCTCATAAGTTAAGGCTCTGTACATAAGAATGAAGTGCACCATTTCTTAATTCTGCATCTAAAATATCAAAAAATGAGACAGGTTATGTAAATTGCATATAATGGAGTCATACAATGGACTAATGAACCCTGTGCTTAGCAGAATCCTGATATGGGAAGATTTTAATGCAGACCATAATATAATATGTAGTTCATAAGACCATGCTTTGCTATTTACCTATGATTGTCCTCACTCATCCCAGCCCCTTCTGATTATCAATTCCCATTCATCGAAGTTCAAATATTATGTCCTCAAATATGTCTTCCATGACTTCCTCACATAGAACTTAGGATAAATTAAAAAAAATTTTTTTTTGTAAATTTCACTTCTCTCTCTCCCCCATTAAATAAAAAGCCCCACATCGACAGAAAACATTTCGTCCTTACAGAGATACCCCCAGTGACAAGCAACAGTGCCTTGGACAGAGTAGGCAATAAATATGTATTTGTTGAGTCAATGATTAAACTTAGGCATGGGGGTAAAAAATAAAAAGCTAGTTATAACAATAGTTAAATCAGAGAGTGAAGCCATAGCTTTTGATTTTCCTTTTCATTGAACATGTATTACTTCAATACGCATATGTGTATATATTTGTGTCATAAAGAAAGACAAATGTTTTAGATGGTAAAAGATTAAGGAGATTAGTATACATAAGTTTCTATTACATCATATTGCTGCAGTTTGCTTTGGTTTAACACTCAGTTCAGAATAGCTGAATTCATTTTACAAAAGTGATTTTTTAAAAAAGTTTACAAAAAGACTACTCTGATCCATAGAAAACTACACAAAGATACATTTTAAATGACCATTTAAGATCTTTGTGTAATTTAGTTCCACTTGCCTCATAGTCTCTAGGGGCTTGATTTAAAGGACAGCTGTGATTCAGTAAAGTTAATATTTACAAGATTAGGCTGCTCTTACATGCCTGAAGCTTTCCTAATGATACATCACTGTGTTAAAAAGAAAAAAACTGGATAAACAGAAACAAAACAAACACAATGTGTATTTTCCAACATGCAAATATGAACACTATGTTCTTGGACCCACTTGTCTTCAAATAGTCACTTTTTCAATCAAATGATGAAAAAGATGGAGGAAAAATGAAAACCACATAGACCCTTTTCTTCCCTTGCCTTAGTTCCCATTTCTCGTTTTAGGTAACAGTAGCAGCAAGATGAATTGCAACACCTGTAGCTTTCTTCTTATGCAGGTCATAATATTAGATGGCCCGAGATAGAGTAAACATTGGCGGGACTGCTGTTCTAGACTGGGCATCTTTTTTATCTCCACCCCTTACTTTGACCATATGTAACCAAGGAGAATGGGACACCCCCAGGCATGACAGAACCTATATTTAACCTGCCTGTTGTATTTCCCATTATATTTTTCATCTCCTGGCAAGAGATACTCTATACCTTATTTGCTTCCTGTCTATAGCAAGCCCTGGGTAAATGGTTCTGATTTGATCTTTTTCAGATGTTGATCGTTTATAGAATGTGTTGGCATTACTCTTCCCTTTCTTAAACTTGGAACTGGAACTGGTTAGAACTGAAGTTGCATGAAATTCGATTACCTCATGGTTCACAGTTAGAACTTTGAACTGCTGTGAAATGTTCCCTCTTAGGTGAATCTGATGAACAAGCTGAATAGGGTAAGAACTGCAGGTATTGGAACCTTAGTAATATGAATTGTTCTGGCACTTTACATACAGTAAATTTCTTTTTGATCTTATAAACTACAAACAATGTCTTTATGAATACAAGTGAAGATTTTTCCAATTTAAGATAATTTCATTTCAAAAAGAAAAATAGAATGCTGTTTTTCAACGTTTTAGAGGCTCCATTTTTAATTCAGTTTTTCATGATCTCTTTTAAAATAATAATTAGCATAAATTATTTTGAGTACCTAGTATAAGTTTGCTTGTCTACTGGAGATTTAGCTTTGCAAAAAAAGTGAAGGTACTAATCTGTCCATTTACTAATATGGAAAACAAAGTTCAGAGTGTTTAGGTAACTTACTTAAGGCCATACACTTAGAGTCAAACTCAGTTTCTCCGATTCTGAAGCCTAAAATCTGTTCACTAATTTATGTTATGGTTTTTTTTTTAAAGATTAAAGAGTATAGGCATACATCATTTTATTGTGCTTCACAGATATTGTGTTTTTTTACAAACTGAACCTTGCTTTCAAGTCTACTGGCGCAATTTTTCCAACAGTGTTTGTTCACTTCATGTCTCTGTGTCATATATTGGTAATTCTCGCAGTATTTAAAACTTTTACATTATTATTATATTTGTTATGGTGATCTGTGATCAGTGATCTTTGATGTCACTATTGTAATTGTTTTGGGGCGCCGTGAACCATGCCCATATAAGACAGCTAACTTAATCCATAAGTGTTATGTGTGTTCTGACTGCTCCAACGACTGGCCTTTCCCCATCTCTCTTCCTCTCCTCAGGCCTCCCTATTCCCTGAGACAGAGCAATATTGAAATTAGGCCAATTAGTAGCTCTACAATGGCCTCTAGGTGTTCAAGTGAAAGGAAGAGTTGCATCTCTCTCACTTTAAATTGAAAGCTAGTCATGATTAAGTTTAGCGAGGAAGGCAGGTCAAAAACCAAAACAGGCTGACAGCTAGGCCTCTTGTGCCAAGCAGTTAGCCAAGTGAATGCAAAGGAAAAGTTCTCGAAGGAAATTAAAAGTGCTACTCCAAATCCAACAGCACATTAAAAGGATCATACACCATGATCAAGTGGGGTTTATTCCAGAAATGCAAGGATTCTTCAATATACGCAAATCTATCAATGTGATAAACCATATTAACAAATAGAAGGAGAAAAACCATATGATTATCTCAATAGATGCAGAGAAAGCTTTTGACAAAATTCAACACCCATTTATGATAAAAACCCTGCAAAAAGTAGGCATAGAGGGAACTTTCCTCAACATAATAAAGGCCATATATGACAAGCCCACAGCAAACATCATCCTCAATGGTGAAAACTGAAAGCATTTCCACTAAGATCAGGAACAAGACAAGGTTGCCCACTCTCACCACTCTTATTCAACATAGTTTTGGAAGTTTTAGCCACAGCAATCAGAGAAGAAAAGGAAATAAAAGGAATCCAAATCAGAAAAGAAGAAAAGCTGTCACTGTTTACAGATGACATGATACTATACATAGAGAAACCTAAAGATGTTACCAGAAAACTACTAGAGCTAATCAATGAATTTGGTAAAGTAGCAGGATACAAAATTAATGCACAGAAATCTCTGGCATTCCTATACACTAATGATGAAAAATCTGAAAGTGAAATCAAGAAAACACTCCCATTTACCATTGCAACAAAAAGAATAAAATATCTAGGAATAAACCTACCTAAGGAGACGAAAGACCTGTATGCAGAAAATTATAAGACACTGATGAAAGAAATTAAACATGATACAAATAGATGGAGAGATATACCATGTTCTTGGATTGGAAGAATCAACACTGTGAAAATGACTCTACTACCCAAAGCAATCTACAGATTCAATGCAATCCCTATCAAACTACCACTG